TTTAGTATTTGGAAACAATTCATCAAATTTATTCAGTAGAAATCGATATGAAAATTAAATAATTTGCAATTCAAGAACTATACATGTAGAGTTCTGGAAATAGAAAAGATGAAACAATAATGCATAAAATAATATTCTTGAGTGTTTGTCTATTAATGCCTTTTAGGAACACATGGTCTAGAAGTGTAAGATGAACTTTCATATATACGTCCTTGTAGTCTCTTCATATACCTTTTCTTGTAGTCTTTTTGATCTGTACATTTTAATGCAATAATTTACATTCACAAAACTTCAGCAAATTTATGCCTATCTGTAAAACTGAAACAGCTTTAAAGTTGTCAGGAATCTATAGAATTATAGGTATTGTATAGTTATTTTAGTAGTAACTATGTGCATTATTCATACCAGACTGATAGACATGCAAAAGACAAAGGTAGAACTGTATGGTACATACTGAAAGATGCTCAGTGTTAATTCACTATAATTGTTGATTGATTTTACAGAACTACATGACTATCTGGATTCAGCCATTACCAAAATATTCCAAATTCTAATTAACCTGAACAGCATGTATACCTATTTTTCACAGGTCACCTACAAAGCCCCAATGAAAAACTCCTCATAATTAAAACAAGGACGTTTGCTTTTAATTGAGCATACGTATGGTCTCTTTCTGGAATATGTTAGAGTTAAGAGTTTCAGAGCCAAAGAATGCAATAACTTATAACCCGAAGAGTTTCAATTTCCTGCTTTAAATGTGTATTTATTAAAAGTTACTAGGGCCGGTGTGGCATTTATTTACAATTTCCATACATTATTAGTTATAAATCAAAAGTTTAAATGATTGACAGATTTCTCCACTGTGTGTGCAATTTAATCAGTGACCCCAAGATTGGAAACATTCACAGTTCTTCGTTTAGCCAAATGTTTGGATGGAGTGTTAAAATTGTAAACAACATACAGAATGCAATTTCTGTTATAAAAACATGTTCTACTGGTTAATAAAACAATACCTACCAGAAAAGTAGGACTGATTCAATTTCATTGAAAATAATAATAAAATTATGTCTTTCCAGTCCAGTAATTTTGTTTTATTTTGATTAAAATTGAACAAGAATATATCAATGCAGACCTGTGTTTTGTTTTGATTAAACAATAAAGAATATGTCTGTCTATCCAGTCCATTAGCCTACCATAAGTTGTTTTATTTTGGTTTAAAGTTAACCATGCTCTGCACTTTGTATTCTATCTTTGAGCAGACATGGCTACATGAAATCAGGGGAAACAATTACTATTCTTAGTCAATATAAAAGTCTTGTGTTCCATTTATTTGGTTGTTTTAAAAATATTTTGCTCAAACCTTAATCACAACATCTGGAATACAATAACTCTGCTTCTAATTGTGGTAGAATATTCAAACTTGGTGTAAATGTTTATTAACTCCTAACTGACCCACGGCGACAAAAGTCGACACCTATAATGTACTAGTTTCCTTACATCAATACCTGGACCAAGTTAGATAATGAGCATTTCATGCTCAGGTTGAGCAGTGTCATAAATAATTTTATTTGCTATTACTTTATAAAAAGTAACTGATGAGGTTTATCTATTTATTTTGGGATTGAGTCAGGTGATACCAGTCTCACACCAATATGACTACCCAGTGCAGTATTTTGATGTAATCTGGTTTAAAGTTAACAATAATTGCTCAGCCCAGTATTTTGTTTTACATTGGTTACATCAAGAAAAAATATGTTGATCCATTTTATTTTAAAATCAATATATATGTCTATCCCGTCTAGTACTTTGGTTTAAAGGGCCAATCTCAATTATGTTTTAGAGAATAAAACTGCTTAATTTTGTGTTAAAAGCCCTTAAAATCCTCTACTTTGGGGTCGAGCAACTAACTCAATATACATGATATGTTTTCAAACAACTTAATCCAGTCAGTCTTCATCTGGAAATGGGGACCAGTGTCCCAAGACGTATTAAATGGTGTTTGGATAAAACCAGAATTATTATCAGGTCACCTAACAAAAAAATTGACCCGAAATCTTAAAAGGGTTATGTGTCCGGATACGCGGTTTTGACGTTCACTCCCAAAAGACTCAATATTTTGAGCTGAAATTTTGAGACAAGGTAAATACACCATTTCTCTATATTTTGGGACTTAAATTTTATACGTACACAGACTTTTATTTCTGAGGCTCTGTTAAAATCGGGAAGGTCTCTTTAAATTCATCTGCTATCCATTAAGTACATTCCACTAATGCAAATATAAAATAAACATCACCATTAAATTCTTATTATGAAGTTATTTTACAATCTTTTTCTTTCCAGCATAAATATCTTGTGCAAGGTAAATAAGTCCTACCACTCAATTTTGAAAAATGGAGTTTTAAACATACATTATGCAAGAGCTAAATCTGTCTATTTCGGGTCTTTCTTTAGGCCTGAAATGTTATCTAAATTATTAATTAGACATTAATTAACCTATCCAGACCATAATCAACTCTTGATGGCATCGCTAGCCTGCGATCTTTAGTGGATTGTGAGCTGATTTACTGCATAACTTTCCTTCACGATTTAACTATTAAATGGATAATCAAGACTATGCTGTTTATCGTACTGACTTCAGTAATGATGATCAAGGCTAGGCGGAAATTCATAGTCGATCAATTTGAATGAAATTTTCAGCAAATTGCCTTTACATTATCTAATTTGTAACTATTATAGTGAGAACTGCCAACTCGTTATCAAATCTCCCATAATGTATCTTTAATTGTCAATTTCTTTATTAAATACTTTCCCCCAAAAATGCTACGATTAAATTCCTATTAATGGTATGTTTGGCTTGCTATAGCGAAAACACCCACAAACAAACATTATTTTATATATAGGTACAAATAACTTGCTGACCAGCTTATAAATTCTTTTAATGTATTATACCTTAAAAAAAAATCACTTTGTAGTTTTTCTGGGTAAAAGTATTTTCCTGGAGACAATGTTGCATATGTCTGATTAATTTTGGTTAACAAAATATCTTCAAGATAGGTTGCCAGGCAATGAAACATACGCCCACAGCAGCTAAATCGCCAGAACGGTCAACAAGGGTAGTTGCATATTTATTCTTTTGTAGGTAATTGGGGGCATTTAAAATACAATTTCATACAGATCAGATTACAATTTTTGTCGTTTGAGGCTTCAGAAGGTTCTACAAACTGAAACAAGGGCCTTAACTCTGTATAAATTTCATACAAATCGGATGATATCTTTTGTCATTCGAACGTTCACAAAGTTCAAAAAGTAAAACAAGGGCCATAACTCTAGAAATAATGGATAGAAATTGCTGAAATTCAATTGAGCATTAACAAGGTTGAACAGAGTGAAACAAGGGCCATAACTCGAGAAGTAATTATTGTAAATTGCTGAAATTCAATAGGCTTTGTGGTTTCACTAATCTAAATGATCCATATAAATTTCATACAGATCGGCTGATAACTTTTGGCATTAAACTATTCAATCCAAATATTGCATAGAAATTTCACAAAGATCGGATGTTAACGTTTAACATTAGAGCGTTCACAAGGTTCAACAAAATGAAACAAGGACCATAACTCTAAACATAATAAATGGAAATTAGTTAAATTAAATAGGCTTCTTCATCTCACTAATGTAAACAACATATATCAATTTTAAAACAACTGGATGGTAACTTTTGGTGTCAGAGACTTCACATGAAATTGTGGACGGACGGACGGGGGTGAGAGAATCTAACCCCATCCAGTTATTCAGTCATTATTGTGTGAAAATTAGTAGCCTACTAAATAAAAGAAGTATTAAACTGTCAATTCCATATACAACCAATCAGAAAATAATTCTTCAAACTCAATGTACTGTTCAAATTGCCTTGAACATAACAGACTCGATGAACTAACTACATGTTTTGCAATGAAAAAATGGTGCAGACAAGCACCAAATACCCTCGTCTGGCTTATTAGTAACCACATGTAATTGTATTAATTAATGTGATTAGCTCACATAAAAACACCTGGCAAGCTGACTCTATTAGGTTTAAATTCAGTTAGAAAACATCCATAGAAGACAATTTATAAGACGGCTACGTTGTATGTAAATAAGTATAGTTGAAGGTAGTTTAACATTGCAGTAACAGGTGGTGGAATCAATACTATACCAACAATAAAACATTCCATTCCCTCAATTATGCTGGACAGTCCTACATGTACCGACCCAATACTTCATTTTTTTACACCAATTTACTCATCAAAATAATAGTTTGACATAATGGTTATCATATACATGATTACATGATCATATTGTTCAATAATATTCAATCATACTTTTCTAAATAATGTAGCATTTATATCATGAAAATTACAGGTTGCTATGGAATGAAATTGGTTTTATGCCTCATTAATTCTGAACTTTGGAATCATATTGTTATTTTCATTGTGCAATAGAGCAAGGAACATTAGGAGAAATAGATATCTTTTTTTTTATTTACCATACATCTGTGTGTCATGCAAGGAAGACAGTTTTTAATTTTGTGAGGTAACTATGTTTTGTTAGTTTTACTGGCTACAGTAGACTCTTTTCAATGTGATAGACCAAGAAGTTCTAAAATTTATGCCTCAAGTAACGAATACTCCAGAGGTGTGATATGAGCAATTTAGACAGACAGTATAGGAGATGAAATCGTTTACTATATTACACTTTCAAATAACACAAAAGGCACCTTGTAATTCCACTCCATCAATACAATTGTTAAAGCTAACACTTATTCATGGTAAGCTTAGGAAAAAATACAGAAAGACTGGGATATTATTACCTATATGTACATGAGTTTCTTCAATTAAAATATACAACACAATTACAACTGTATGTAATTTCTGCTCGATCACATGAGAAAAGGTATATAAAACAGAGTCTGAATTAGAATCTATAAATAAAAGTAATGGGAATATATGTCAGATGCTTACCTTATAAACCACAAATAGTCCACAGCTTGCTTCATAATAAAATATCTATGTTCAATTTACTGTTATATTTAATACATAAAGCAGTCTGTGTGCTGTTCAAAATACAAATACACAGTTTGTCCACAATCACAATACTCAATGTTTGAAACAAAAATTTATAACACCATTAACATCTCTACTCCTTCTTACTAACCATTAAAAATGATTAATACAAATGCAGAATATTACAAAAAATGTTTATCAATCTTTCAATATCCAGTTATATTAAAGCAGTCATTACCTACACATATTTGTGTTCACATCTAAGGAATGACTAATCACTCCGACAAAAGGTTAAAATATTATATAAGTCAAATGTATAACAGAATAGTCACCAGTACACAACCTTACTAACTTCTGATCTATATGCACATGCAGTAGTTTTAGTTAGGCCATAATTGCAATAGCATTGAATGAACAAGAAGTGTCCTATTAGCTGGCCAGCTGTTGAAACCTATAGTAGTAGTAGTATTAGAGCAGCGTGATGTTGTAGATAGACTTGGCTCACTCTCTCTCAGATCAATATCCTTCACCAACTTCTCATAATATCCTTTAATATCCACACAACACTTCCCATACCAGTTCAATATTTCTAATATCTCTAACAAGTATTTGACACATTTGAACATCGTACCAAATTTAGAAATAATGAAATATTTATTTTTGATAAATCATTTCTAAATTTGAAAACTAATTGCTTTGCGTGCAGTTTGATCAAATTAGTTCTAGACAACTCATTATTAATTCAAAGCGAGGGTATTAAAGTCTTTGATTTAATATTTATAAAAGATTGTTAGCATAAACTGACCAGTTTGAACACCTCATTGGGTTGGATGGTCCATTGGTCTAATGTGTGCTTTAGAGCATAAGGTTTGTCATTTAGTCAAGTGGTGTAGTTTTGATCCCAAGCTTGTACATTAGAAGAAGTAGGATCCCCTGTCCAACCGTGTGGGTTTTCTCCCATGGCTAAAGACCATTATGCGCAAGCGAATTATTGAAATAAAATTGAACCATGTGTTAGTCCCGAAAGTAGTTTATGTCAAGTGAATGTTGGATCGCATTTCTCGCTCTTTCTCGTATTGTTCTTTATTTCTTTAAGAATATGTTACTGAATGTACATTTTAGGAGAAGTCTAGTCATTGCCATTTGTTTATATTTCATCATTATCGAATAGTTAAATAGTTTAAAAAATGCATCATCCCCACCCATATGCAAATCATTTCAAATTTAACAAGCCAACAGTGAGGCTGATCTTGACGGCCGAAATCCCAAAATAAATAGATGACACATATTAATTAATCGCACATTTATTTTTTTTCAAAAGTATCGAGCAATCAAACTATACACTAAGTTTCATCACTCTCTATCAGATAGATTCAAGATTATCTTGTCCCAAAGCATCGATCAATGAAATTGATCAGCTCTGCTTAGCTTTAGCTCGAAATGTTAATCATTGAACTCAGTCAAGACATTCACCTAATGAACATCTACATCAAGTTTAAATATTCTACCTCAATTAAAAGCAGAATTTTATGTTCCAAAGTCTTGACCAATCAAATTGTTATCGCTCCTTAGCCTAAGCAGAAAATTCGCACCATCGAACTTAGTCAAGGTAATGATATAATGAATCTATATTCGGAGTTCCATCGCTCTCTCTTCAATATTAAAAGCAGAGTTGTTATGTTCCAAAGTCTTGACCAATCAAATTGTTATCGCTCCTTAGCCTAAGCAGAAAATTCGCACCATCGAACTTAGTCAAGGTAATGATATAATGAATCTATATTCGGAGTTCCATCGTCTCTCTTCAATATAATCAAAGTTATTGTGCCCCAAAGCATCAACCAATCAGATTGCTTATTTCTGCTTACCGTAAGCAGACAATGTTCATCATCCAACTCCATCAAGACATTCACCTAATGAACGCCTACACCAAGTTTGGACATTCTACCTCAATTAGAAAGAGAGTTATTGTGTTCCAAAGTCTCGATCAATTAAATTGCTTATAGCTCTGCTTACCCCGAGCAGAAAATGCTCATTATCAAACTTAGTCAAGGTATTGATGTAATGAAACTGTACACCAAGTTTCATCACTCTCACTTAATTAAAACTAAAGTTATTGTGTCCCAAAGCATCAACCTATCAAATTGCTTATCTCTGCTTACCCTAAGCAGAAAATGCTCATCTTCGAACTCCATAAAGATATTGACCTAATAAACACCTACAACAAGTTTGATCATTCTAGCTCAGTTAGAAAGAGAGTTATTGTGTTCCAAAAAGTGTGACAGACAGACAGACAGACCCATTATAATAGTCCCCTGCTTTCTTCGAAAGGCGGGGGACAATGAGCAAATTAAGACCCCAGCTGTGGTGATTTGAGTGAAGCTGTCAGTTTCTGTTTCTAAACTAAAATGCTGCATGTGTTTTTTCAATTAAATGACTTTCTATTTGCATATTTAAACATCCATATGTGTTTATAAAGTAGGGGGTGGTTATTATAGTGTACCAGCAAATGCAGCAGTTCTACCCTTGAAAAAAAAATCAAGTGTCAATTTTTATCCAAATGTGTTAAAAAAAAAATATTTACATAAACCTTTTTCAAAATATTTTTGATTGTTTAAGTGTGGTTTTCCAAAAACAAAAATTCATTTTCTTTCCAGAAAATCTTCTGAGTCATATCTTATGTTTTATTGTGTCTCAAAACTATTTTGATGAATTAAAGGACATTCTAGTGAATGGTCCCTACATGTATATATGACTGTCAATTTTTGATAATATTTTCTTTTAATGGGTTCTCTCTTGGAAAAGTCTGTTAGTAGAATCCTTATGGAATTACTTTAAGAATTGGGGCTTCTATTCTTTCAAAAAGACTATGAATTAGTAAGTATACATTGGAAGCCTCAGTTAATTGACCCTATTCTTGGCTCTGAATTTCGTTATGGGTTTTGGATATAATATATAATTATTGCCAAGGTGCCTTACAGAAAAATACAATGATAAACATAAACATCAATTACTAGAGGAATTGTGCCTTTTAATCAATTGCTCATCTTTCAGTTAACCTTTTGTAAAACTAACAAATAACAATCAACAAACTGTTCTATTATAAATACCCACTATCCTTTTACTAAATAAACTGAAAAATATCATTTATTAAGCAAACAAACTTATTTCAAAGTATCAAAAGCCTATCATCCACTGAAAATATACATGCATTAAGAACATTTAGTATTGCTATTTGTCTGTTGTCACTATCATTATTGGAGCAAATTACTGATAAAGGCGATAAAAGCTTTAGAAACTAGACAGGTACATAACAATTACTCAATTCTAATTGAAAGATAATATCATATGTCCACCACATAACATTAACTTAAAGAGAAAAATATAGATTTACATCAGTACTGTCAGTAGTGAAAACTGTTTTCAAAGCAATAGGCCCTACCCAGATGCAGTAATCAACAAGATGGAAAGAACTATGTGCCATGTGGACCAGGTACCGAGCATGACGTCATAGCAGCAATCTGGTAATTGTGATGTCATATATCAAATATCAAATGTACCATTGTTATTTTAGGGACCCTTGCTCATTTAATAATAAGTAACATACATTATGACAAAAATATATTTAATCCGAACCTCATCTTTCAACATGACATATTTTAGTGTCAAAATCTTGTGCTTCTGTTTAAAATTCCTTTTGTTTCTTAGATTGTCAGTGTTAGGCAGAAAAAAGGGTTCATGATACCAAACCCTTCCAAAGCTAAGTTCAAGATCATTTATTTGGGGTTGAAACAGCACAAACAGCTTTTAAGTGAAACCAAACTAATTTTCAGTTCATAAGGGTCTAAAAACCATTGAGCAGAGCAAACAAGCACACTTTGTTTTAATTAAATTCTATTTTTTCCCCAGAAATAAGAAGCAAAAAGGTTTTACCCAAGATAAAAGGGTCAAATTGGCCTTATGGTAGTTAGCATATGACTGTATTATCTTTATATTCCTTGGATACAAAAACAAAATGTTCCAACAAAAATGCCTACTGGTAAATTAACTACTAGTAACAATGACCTGACTACTTTGCCTCCATTTGAAAGAGGGCTTCACAGAGTTATGGATGCCAAAGAGCCAATGAAAACAAGTCTTCTATCTATTTACCTAACTATGGATAGTGGTGCCTCTGACTGTGAGTAAAAAGAAGACAAATATTTAGATTGAGAAAAATCTTTTATACACCTTATTTGTTGGAAAGAAATCTTTTAAAGAAATATTTGCTCAAACTGACCTTGCAGCATCGTCTAGGAATTGGTAAAAAAAAAGAACCTTAAAGTGCATCTTACATTGCCGTTGTTTAATCTTTTCATTGATCCTCCATAAAAGCGGTTTCAGAATCAATATGTTTATAACCCATTTTATTGTTGGGTTTAACTATACATTGATTTTAATAATAACAAATAATTCAATATTATGTTTACTTTATTCTATGTATCTATACTGAAGAATCAAACCAAAAAATATTAGACATATATGTTGATGATCAGGAATATTTGTTTTTCTTGGAAGGGGGTTGTTGGCTGATTGATCGAATGTGTGTGCTGTTACCTGTCTTACAGTTTTGATACCATGCTAGTACTGATTACTGATATGTGGCAATGAATCAGAGCCAGATTAAAGGGGTGGTGGGGTGGGGTGCCAATATTAAAGGTGCCCCCAAATTAGTTCTAAAAAGAATTTTGTACCATAAATAAATGTCAGTTATTGTGCCAAATAAATCTATCGGTCTACCATACTGACATAGTGTGACAGACAATGACTAGAATAGTATGCCCCCTTTTCACTGTAGATACAAGTGCCATAGTGAAATTTTCAGCCTGGGGCCCCATGCAAGCTTAATTCGGCCTGGCAAGGATTGGAGTCACCTGCCCAACCTTTTGGTTTTCTCCAGTTATATCGATTTCCTTCTTCTTCCAAAGATCCCTCAGTGCAAGTGAATTATTGAAATAAAATATACACGGTGGCTAAGACAATGGCTCGTTTGTCCAAAGGTCACGTATTCGGTCCCTTTATTGGCCGACAAAGTTCATCAGGATTTTCCGACATGGTTTCCCCTTGTCAGTTGTGCAGGACGGAGGGTCTGACAAGTACAGCTGTCTAGTCATTCAGATGGGACAAAAACTAAGGTCCCGTGTATACATTGGCATGCACGTAAAAGATCCCTTGACAGTTGGATTTCGATATAAGAGTAGGCCATAGTACCACTACCCAGGCAAAATTTCCCTCATACCACACTGTATGGTGTATGGCCGTCTTCATTAGCCCAGTCGGTGCAGAACAGTAGGACTTTAACCATTTCATTTTATTTCAGTCCAAAAATGATCTAGGATTGAGGGGAGGTAAATCCCCATTTCTTTCAATCTGTTTTCTTGTAATAAAATCGCAATTATGTC